TTCGGGTTCAAATAAATATGGCTGGGCAAAAAAATGCAAGTCTTCCTCTGTGTCGAAATCCTTAGACATGTTTGCGAAGATTGTTTTGTTTACAGCGTGCGTCTCCCTCAGACTGTAAACGAAGCTCGGGCGCACCAGATAACACGTCAGCAGTGTCTTACGTCATCAGCGTCACTGGATGCGGATTGACAACAGAACCGGAAGAGCATACAATGCTGAATAAAGTAATAGTTTTTGTTATTTTTGGACCAAAATGTATTTTCGATGCTTCAAAACATTCTAACTAACCCACTGATGTCACATGGACTACTTTGATGATGTCTTTATTTCCTTTCTGGACAAGGACAGTATACCGTACATACATTTTCAACGGAGGGACAGAAAGCTCTCGGACTAAATCTAAAATATCTTAAAGGGGTCATATAATGCCATTTTTGTACAAGCTAATATGATTCTTTAGGGTCTAAATGAAAAGTTTGTAATATACTTCAATTAAAAATTCTCATTAGTATTGTAAGAAAACACTTATTTTACCTGGTCAAAAACAGCTCTGTTTTCAGCACGCCGTTTCAGTGCATATGACTTTAAATGATAATGAGCTTTGCTCACCCCGCCCCTCTGTTCTGCGCATACACCGTTTGTAACACAATAACCATAAAACCATAACGCGTTGTTCATTATAAACGTGTGATTATGAATTATATTGAGAACGTCGTACATAGAAAACATGCCGTAATGTACCCTGAGTGTAAACCTTAGACGCATTCATCGTGATGCGTGCAAGCGATTTGCAAAGATTAATATAAATATATAAAGTTTAATAAAACGTTACACTCACTTCAGTTGTTTTAGAGGTTCAGCAGGAACACGAATAGTTGGTACCGATTCTTTTTTCAGGAGCTGCTTCTTAAAAAAAAAACCAGCTTTATACTGACCCTGCTTTATAAAGCATGAGAAATGAGAAATGATTTGCCCAAACATGAACGCATTGACGTTGCTCGTGGGGAATATTCCCTTCGAAAACAAACTCAGCCACTGCGTCTTCAGCGGTTTGGATTTAGGAACATTAAAATGACTGCTGTGTTCGTTATTCAAGAACAGAACACCACAATCGCTTAGACGCCATTCTGCTCATAGACAGTGCTCCAGCATATCAACAATGACCGCGCCGGTCCGCGCGCACTATGATTGACAGCTAGCTCACGCGGAGGGCGGGTCTGTGTTGAATCGCTGCTGTCAATCAACAATCGCGGGAGGGGCTTCCGAGTGTGTGACGTCACACGGTCGAACGGCTCGATTTGAGGCAGGGGAAAACATATAAGGAGATTAAAACAAAAACACTGGATGGATTTTTATCATTATATGATGGTTGTGTACAGGCACTGCCAACACACATTTCAGTACAATCAACTTGTAAAAGTGCATGTACCATTATATGACCCCTTTAAACTGTGTTCCGAAGATGAATGGTGGTCTTACGGGCTTGGAACGACATGAGGGTGAGTCATTAATGACAATTTTCATTTTTGGGTGAACTAACCCTTTAATATCTGGCTTAGGCATGTGTACTAGGAGTTTGTTGGAGACGATCTGTTAGAAGCTTTTTCGTCCCGAGATCCTCAGTATCTGAGTGTAGGCTCTTTAGATTTAGATCATCTCTCTGTAAGGTCTAGTTTTTTTCCTAGTACTTGCCTCCTCTTTCTACAAGAATTGTATAGCCTAGGCCCACCTCTGCATTAGGCAATTATGCTAGTGGATGTTAAGGGTAGAATAAATAGCAGCATAGGTAGCAGTCTAGTCTATTCACCCTACACCACTGAGGCTCTTTTTAGTACTCCCCCCATTGGGACGAGTTTGAGTACACTCCCTTAGAGCCTAAGCATGCCATGGGCTGACGCTTTTGATAATTGAAGTTGTAGGCCTTTCTATCGGCCTCCTCGATAGTCAGGTAGCGTAAGATTGTACTCCCCTTGTTTAAAGGGTCGATAGCACTCTAGCTAAGTACACTGTCCATTGGCAATATAAAGTAGGAAAAACCGGGCCCATTATTTCTATGAGTACACCTATGATATATGAGGCTAAACTGCTAACAAGTATCACTATCAAGGAGTAGGCCTTCTTTAATGTGGTTCCACTATCTTGTGGGTTTTTAGCAATAAATGAGATCATCACATTGTAGGCTCCCTTTGAACCTCCCTGATTCTAGCCCAGAGCCTGGTCAAATATATATATTATTTTCCTAGCTACCCTAAGTCTGGTCAGAAGGTTGAAGGACTCTCACGAGGCCTCCCTACTAGATCAGCCCTAGAGCTGGAGGCGCTCCCCTTATCTAGGATCCCTTTAGCGTGTCCAGCCTCCACAATGTTTTAAAGCACTGTGTAGATATTACTCCCTCAATATAGATTGAGTAGAGTTACTTGCCTCGTTTGCAAGGGTTATAAAGCGCTATGTTGAGTTCTACTCTCCAGGATGCCGGTTTCCTATGTTCCGGTTTCACTATTGGTTTTGTGAGAGACTCTGTTTGGGAAAACAGACAGGTTGTTGGCAAGACTAGGTCAGTAGATTTTATCAGGTCAGCCTCCCCGGTGGCATGTCCCCCTCAGAAAGTTACTTGACAGGACTCCTTTCAGACCCCCTGGCCATATTCCCTTAACCCTCTGGGGTCTAAGGTGTTTTTGGGGTCCTTGAGATGTTTTGACATGCCCTGACATTTGTGCTTTTTTCAGTTGCTTATAAACATATTAATGGCACAGGTGAAATTACACTCTATTTAGCGCAAACAGGGCTACCATAATATGTGAGCAACAATACATTAGCAACCTACAAGCAACCTACAACAGTAGGCCAATACATTTTATCATACATATTTCAAAGTTAAGGATTCATTATTTTGATATAGCCTAGCTTGCATTGGAACAAACACTATAACATTTGATTAGTTTATTTTTGACAAAACATACTATATATTTAACATATGAGCAGAAACTGTCTAACAAAAGCTTATTTGATGTCTATTTTAGAGTAAAAACTTTAGAATCTATCTAAAACTAGTCAACGAAATGTTGTCATTACAGACACTATTCTATATCGCGATTAGAACAAATCTCAGTAGGGTATAGCAATATAGTTTGGATGTGTTCATGTAAAATAACTTTTACTAATGTAGGAGCGAGAGTGAATGAACGCACAGATGCGATGGACAGCTGTAGTAAACAACATCGCGCGCGCGTCTGTGCCATTCATTCATTCACACACAGACACGCAATTCATATTTAAACAGTCTTTGTGCAGTTTACAGACACTATTCAATAATGCGATTAGAACAAAGCACTTAAGAATAAATAACCTACTACATCAGCTGACTCCTCGAAATGAAACTACCAGCACTTCTGAGGTAACTTTTCTAGGATTATTACGATATTATTATTCCTCACAGAGCAGCAAGACGAGGTAAAGTACAAGATTCTTATTAAACTGGATGTTTTATCCAGCTGATGTGGGCGTTTTCATGGCTTGCCTCAACATTTGCGTTTGAATAGCGTGCGCTCTCAGTGGGCGTGGTCAGATTAACACGTAATACGCTATAATTAGCTGAAAGGAAAAAGACTGACATCTCTCTCTTTTCATACAGATTACATAAACTGAGAATATTTGTTTTTTATATAAATTACTTCATTTAAAAGAAGAGTATTTCAGCTTCATAAAGAAAAATCTTTCGTGCCTGTGTGACAAGTATTTACTTAGTTACAGTTCATTTTCGGACGTGTTTCAGAATGAACTTCACTGACAGAGAGAAGGCAAAATTCGCATCATGTTTATTTTTCTTTATTTGATAAAAAGCAGAACACTTAGAAAAAAATAGACACTTAACAGGATCTAATGATGTACAACACTTATATGTAAGATCAAAATCAACAGAGTAATTTGAGTCTCTTTTGCACTGATAAGGAAAAAAGTGAGCTCGTCACGCCGGCGCGATAGCCGACCCCAGAGGGTTAAAAGAACCCCTTCCTTGGAAGCTGTTGGTTCCAAGCCTTTGAGCGGCCTTGGTAGGCCTTCCGTTGTTCGGAGGCCTCTTTGAGGCTTATAGCTTGGGCAGTCACCGTAGGGAATAATGCCACTGACAGCCTGTATGTGACCCGAAGGGGGAGTGTTTTCTTGGCGTTTCAGGTTGAAACTGCCAGTTCTGACGTTTTGTCATGAGCCATAATTGGCATGCACTCCCTTCAGCATGGTGGGATTGTACTTCGTTCCCAAATAGCGTCATCGACGCAGTGCGAGTTCCCTTTAGAAAGGGAACGTCTAGGTTACGACTGTAACCTCTGTTCCCTGAGAACAGGGAATGAGACACTGCGTCATTAGCCATGCCTCGGGATGCCTGCTGAACAGTCCCTTCAGACGAAAGTGGATGACATGTTCTCTAGGAGCCCGTTTTATACTTCCGGGTTGCACTATTAGTGACGTCATAGGCTGTCGCTGGTCAAAAACTTCTTTTTTTTTTCAAAAACTTTGATGCATTATTAATTATAACTAGCAATTTTATTTTTCTCATATTATTTTCATCAGCAATATGGTTTAGTTAAAACCAACAACTTTTTTTTTCATGGTACATGCATTTTGATTATTTATACGCAAGTAATGATGTCCAATGACTTGTTGGCATTATTTAGGTATTATTTTATTTATTTGTAAGGTAATAAAACAATTTTTGATGAAGAAAGTTTATATGCAATAGAAAAAATTATTTTAAAACTGACACTGGTTCAAACTAGGCTACTGTACTGTATATGTTTGATTTATGTTCAAGTGCTTGGGACAAGGTTTTTTGTAATCAGGCTCTAAACAATTATACAAAAATTTGGATTTAGATTTATCGGCCAAAATATCGGTTATCAGCCTTTCCAAATATAAATAATTATCGTATATGCCAACATTTTCATATAGGTGCATCCCTAATTACAACAGATATCACACAATTTAAAGCTCTTCAGAAAGTTTACCTGAAATCTTCTGAGCCTAGAACCTCAGTGTAGTACATGACTTTACACTTGTGAGAGGACACCTGCAGAGTAGCCAGAACATCGTCCACCCTAGGTAGGTTTGTGGTGGCACATGCTGGCATAGAGTGGAACTTCCATTGCAAAATATAGAAACCTGGCCATCGAGTCACATGTGAACCCTAAAGGGTGTGTACACATTTTGGCAGAAAGATTGAAACAAGGGAAGAAAAAAAAAAAGATGAAACAAATATCAAGAAAACTGTCTATAATTACAATCATCCACCACCTTAGACAGAACTTTTAACAATGAAATTATTTTACATTTTTAAAGGTCATATCATTTTTTGAGAAAATATTATGAGAAATGTAATTATGCTTGACAGAATTTACATAGAAGTCTTAAAGGAACAGAAACAAAGTATGGTATGACCACTATAAACTTCTTTACTATGGAAACTGATGGAATCAGCATCAAACTGGATACTGATCGTATGTGACATACCTGCACACTTTCTCCCTCTTTGCAGGTAAGTGGTGACTCCACCATGCTGTAGTCCTGTCCCAGCAGCCAGGATTTATCTATAAGCTGCACATTGTTGCCTGCAGGAGAGGTAATGCCATGGGTAGCCAGTGGATCCTTCCTTGGCGGCTGTGGAGCTCGTTTAGAATGGTAGATATTGAAGATCACATCACCTTTACATACATCAAAGTCCCAAGTGATGACTGAGGAGGCATCGATGATCTCAATCAATATCTTAAGGAAGAGATACAAAGAGGAAATTGTGCTCTTTAACTATATGTGTAGCTTTAATACTGTTCAGTAGGTGGCACTCTGGTTCAAAATGTGACCAATGTTGTGTTTTCTCAGACTGAAATCCAGTTTTGTAAAAAATCTTAGATGAGGTGATCATATTTTGCAAATGCACCAAACACAACCCAAATCAAATAGTTTCTAATAGATCCTGACCTCATGTGGTGCTCCTTTAAAGATGCTGGCACTCTGGTAAATAGTCTCCGTCCACAGCCTGATTTCATCATTCTCCAGTTCCTCTGCAGTTCTGTACAGGGACTTGGGCACCAAGCCACCCTCTGGCACTTCACACTGCACATATTTCACAGTGTCACTACTTTAGTTCAATAAGCTACTAAAACCATACTAAGGTAAGTCAACACAGATAATACCTCAGTTTGAATACATGCATACAGATCTTAGGGTGTGTTAAAGGGGTCATATAATGCCATTTTCATACAAGTTAATTTGATTCTTTAGGGTCTAAATGAAAAGTTTGTAATATACTTTAATTAAAAATTCTCATTAGTATTGTAAGAAAATACTAATTTTACCTGGTCAAAAACAGCTCTGTTTTCAGCACGACGTTTCAGTGCATATGCCTTTAAATGATAATGAGCTTTTGCTCACTCCGCCCCTCTGTTCTGTGGGTCGTTTTGACAACACACGTGGAGTGTTGCCTTGACAACAGTTGAGGGTATATTTTGGAGAAAGAATGGCAGCGGGAGTCTCTGAGGACACATCTGTGCAACCGTATCAGTTTGGTTCCGGGTCCGACTCCGGTAAAGATGACGGCCCGAAGAAGTTCGACAATTAAGGCTCGAACAGGACGTTTCTGAATGATTGGTTAACGTAATGTCACATTGATCTATCTTTGTATGTACTGGCAGGGTAACGTTAGAGTAACTTAGTGAGATGTACGAATTCTATGTGTTTACTGATGTATATGTACTCAGTTTGTAATAACACAATAACCATTACGCGTTGTTCATTATAAACGTGGGATTATGAATTATATTGAGAATGTCGTACATAGAAAACATGCCGTAATGTACCCTGAGTGTAAAGCTTAGCCGCATTCATTGTGAAGCGTGCAAGCGATTTGCAAAGATTAATATAAAGGTTAATAAAATTTTACACTCACTTCTTCTGGAGGTGCAGCAGGAACATGAATAGTTGGTACCGATTCTTTTTTCAGGAGCAGCTTCTTAGCAAAACCAGCTTTATACTGATCCTCGTTTATAAAGCAGTCTGGTGAGAAAAGATTCGCGAATCGCGCAAACATGAAAGCATTGACGTTGCTCGTGGGGAATATTCCCTTCGAAAACAAAACTCAGCCACTGTGTCTTCAGCAGTTCGGATTTTGGAACATCAAAATGACTGCTGTGTTCGTTATTACACCCAAGAACAGAACACCACAATCGCTTAGACGCCATTCTGCTCCAGCGTATCAACAATGCTGGACTATGATGACAGCTCGCTCAGGGCGGGGATGTGTTGAAACGCTGCTGTCAATCAACAATCGTGGGAGGGGCGTCCGACCATGTGACGTCCCACGGTCGAACGGCTCGATTTGAGACTGGGAAAAACATATAAGGAGATTAAAACAAAAACACTGGATAGATTTTTATCATTATATGATGGTACTGCCAACACATATTTCAGTACAATCAACTTGAAAAAGTGCATGTACCATTATATGACCCCTTTAACACTTGGCATGTTTGGTTTGATTAAAGGGTTAGTTCAGAACGTAGGCTCACTATTGGCCAGCATCAAACATGACCAGCGTCGGCCAATAAAATGAACCTACGTTCTGACGTAGAGCTGCGCTGTTACACTATGTAAACTCACTCTGATGCCCACACAGAAGATGAATAGTTGAATAAAGTCGTTATTTTTGTTGTTTTTTTGTGCACAAAAAGTATTCTCGTCACTTGATAAACTTAAGGTTGAGCCACTGTAGTCACTTGGACTATTTTAACAATGTTTTTACTAACTTTCTGGCCCGGCAGGTTTCAATTACAATAGAATCCTATGGAGTGAGACAGCTCTCAGATTTCATCAAAAATATCTTAATTTGTGTTCCGAATATGAACGAAAGTCTTACGGGGTTGGAACAACATGAGGGTGAGTAATTACTGACAGAATTTTCATTTTTGGGTGAACTAACCCTTTAAGGTCCGAACCATAGTTCATGTTTTGATACATTTTATACATTCGGTAAGTTTTGGTTTGGTTTCACATTGCAATTATGCGAGCGCACTAAAGAACTTTACATGACATACTTGCGTCCTGTCATCATCATCTATGTGGGCTGCATCTTGACATTGATTGGTTTGTAAACGGATGTGCATCTGATGTCAGCGTGTTGTCAATTCGGCGGGTAACTTTGACAAGAATGAATGAACAGACCCATATCATTGCCGCTATACTGTTATTATTACGGCATCACTTCCTGCAGGACCAACTATACTCAAGGCTAGTTCAAATTCGCCAAATGAACGTCCTCGTTGTGAGAGCATTTTATCGTCGCCGGCAGGAAGGGAGAAGATTGCAAACAATTCTGCGAGAACCACCGGAACTTCCTCTAAATGGTCTGAAAGTCCGAACCATACAGAAAATGCTTTCACACTAGAAACGAACCAAACCTTTGTTCAGTTTGATCCGGACCGAGACTACCTCTTTTCGTCTGACCAAATTTCGTCTGTTTGGTCCGGACCGTGGTTCGGGGGAGGTTTCACAGCTGTAATTTTGATTCGGATCAAACTGAAAAGTCCAAAAATCCAGACCAAACAAGGTAGGTGTGAAAGGGCCCTAAAAGAAACTCTGATGCGATTGCTTTGTTAGTGCGGTTCATTTGAATAAGTGTGAATGCTGCCATCAGAACCCTGGTGTGCACCAAACAAGCACACTAAGACCGCTGAAAAGATGGGTCTCTGTCCGCTTCCAAATTAACTCTGGTGAGGTTCGAATTAATGAACACAACACGGACCAAAGACATGTACACAAACCAAAAACATGACATGATGTCACAAGATGCGACCCTAAAAAGGACAGAATGCTCAAGCATACCTTTTTTCTTTCGTCATAGTCACAATGATGCCTATCACAGTTCAGTACACAGCAGATAGTCGTTTGTGTGTGTGTGGAGGAGGGACTCCTGCTGCTTTTTTTACCTTTTCCTTTACACATTTGTTCTTACACATCTTTTCACGAGTTCTCAGCTGGTCAAAATACCATCATATACCCAGCACACAGTATTGTTTTGAATGTTCAGTAAGTTCAGTCACGAAAAATAAATAATAAAAGCCGGCCAATCAGGTTGTGAACACATACCTATCCCTTTAGGTTGGTGTGAAAAATGCTAATGTGAACGCTAAGCAGACCAAGACTAAAGGTTTTTTTTTTTCGTCCAGACCAAACGAACCAAGCGAACTGAACTATAAGTGTGAGCAAACAGGACTGAATAGGTTCCATTCACTCGCAAAGCATAAGGAAAAAACTACATACCATACACTCTCCTCCAAGGAAGTCAGGGATGATCTCTTTATCAATGTAGTCTACAAGACCGCCAGGGCCCTGGTAGTCATTTCCCGCATAGATCAGAAACTTCTTTCGTGTATTCTCATCAATGAAAGGGCTCACCTGTAAACACAGATGGGAGGAGGAAAGCACAGTTAATATAATATGCTTCCTTTTGGGTTAACTCATGCTACGAATAACCAGGTGACTAATTTACTTTCTAAATGAGAGGTTATTACTTCAAGCAATTATTTTCATATTAGGACTGTGTATATAAGGGAAGGGGAGGGGAGGGGAGGGAAGGGGGAGGGGAGGGGAGGGAAGGTGGAGGGGAGGGAAGGTGGAGGAGAGGGGAAGGGAGGGGAGGGGAGGGAAGGGAAGGGAAGGGAAGGGAAGGGAAGGGAAGGGAAGGGAAGGGAAGGGAAGGGAAGGGAAGGGAAGGGAAGGGAAGGGAAGGGGAGGGAAGGGAAGGGAAGGGAAGGGGAGGGAAGGGGAGGGGAGGGGAGGGGGGGTGATAGGCACAGTGCTTAACGTGAACAAATAAATTTGGCATGCATGTCATGTTAAAAGACCATCCCCATCTCTAGTTGAGGAGAGAAGAATCAGAAGCAAAAAGTGGTGTCCCTCACCAGCGTCCACAAGACAGGAAAAACTCTGGGAGCTCTGAGGATGAGCAGACGGCCTAGAGTCTCAGGGTAATTGGCCTCCACTACCTCAATAATCCTCAGCAGAGCTTTGACTCCAGGGCGCCACAGATGCCTCATATTGAGCCCCTCAAGATCAACCAAACATGTCCAGCAACTACAGAATGAGAAGATGTGAATTACCACCTCAGCAGTGAAAAATGTCACTTAGCTTTTCAGTTGTGAACTATTTTATCGAAAAAGACAATCACAAGGCACCGCTGACAACAAATTGTTGTACATTTATGTTTCAGTCAAGGAGTGTTTGTCTGTACAGTGTGCATGCAGAGAGAGAGAACAGGATAAAGAAAGTGCTTTTAATAGATAATAAATGGTAATTTGGTAGGAAAGGCATAGAAAATGTTCATAATTTTTTTCCAATTGTTTGTCATTTGTTTGCTTGGTATTTGTGGGTTTTGGTTCATTTGCTATTGTAATGTAGGCTGTAAGGACCTTTGAAAAAAACCCTGAAATAATTGAACATTAGTCAACCCATCAGAATTAAGCATTCAACAGCCCCATATAAATGTAAATTATTTTAATAGTAAATGTATGGTTACAGAGGGCAAATGTGTCAGTACTGTCAGTACCTAATTGGTCGACCAAAGACTTTAGTGTTCTCCTCGCAGCGTCGCAGACCCTCTTCATTGATAGACAGCACCTAAACATTCACATATGTTGTTACTTTGTTTAGATCCATATGAATTGAATTAGTGGTGGACAAAGTACACAAATCAAGTAGATGAGTAAAAGTACAGATACCCTAATGAAATATTACTTCAGCATTAAGTACTCTTTTAATTTTACTTAAGTAAAAGCACAAAAGTACTTTATTTTATGTACTTGAGTATTAAAATTAAAAAGTACTGATTGATGTATATTTATTTATTTTGCAATTTTATATACTCCATTCTACTGCTGAGGTGGAGGTGGGGATATAATGTACTTGACACACAGATAGAGCTTAAATAGGATACAGTTCAGTACTGATTTGAAAGTAACTTTATTTTACTACCAAAACTTGTCATACACTAGTCAAGTCAAGTTATCTTCATTTATATAGCGCTTTTAACAATGTAGATTGTTCCAAAACGGCTTAACAGTGATAATAGGTAAACAATAAATGAAAGTAACAGATTGTTTCGGCTTTATGGCAGCTCTAAAATAAAGTTATTTTCCAGTTAAAGTTAGTTTTGACTGATTCTCTTCCGTCGCAATGATCATTAGTTATTAACTTAGGGGCCGCTAACACGACATCGTTTTAACGCAAGTCCTCTCTATGCAAACTTTCACTACTGATAATTATCACTACTGATAATTAATACTAATAATTACTAATAACTCAAGCTTGTAAGTAAGAATAACAAAATATATCATAGTATATAAAAATGAGGAAAAACAAAATGTGTTGACAAAAATAAACATAATAATATAGCTGCAAGCAGCAATCACTGGGGCCAAGCGCAAAAGCAGACGACAAGAGAAGCCAACATGGCTGGGAGTTTCAGACCAACTGCAGCAAGGAGCATAGATGAATTTTGGCAAAATGGCTGAAAAATCATATACATTAACTAAAAATATGATTTAATGGACTATCACTATCGACCAATAGGTGGCGCAGTTACGAAATGTATGTGGTCTGGTCAGAGTGAGGTGACAATGTTCATTTTCTAAATGTCAAGGTATTGCAGAGATAAAGCCTGAATGGTCATTATGGCAGCATGCCTCAAATTTGATGCTGCACTTTACGAAAACGGTTTAGTCTATCGACACGAAATCCATAACTTTTAGTCAGCGTGGTCTGGAGATGATACGATTCGATTTTGGTGAAAATTGGACAAACGGCCTTGGAGGAGTTCGAAAAAGTATGTATTCAATGAAAATCAAGATGGCGGATAGGAAGTTCGTCCAAATACATCAAACCTGGTATCTATGTTCTCGGTACAACCCAAGGAATATATTAAGACCAGTGTCATTAAAATAGGCAGATGTATTCAAAAGTTATTAGCATTTTTGGAAATGTAATTTTAACTTTTGACCAACAGGTGGCGCTGTCTCGAAATCTTTTGAGTACCTTCAAGGCAAGGTGCTGGTAACAAATTCTGAGTTTCGTAATGTTACAGCAATGTGTTCATTAAGTGTATAGCATTTCACATTGCAAAACTGCATTGAAATCATTGGGAGTTTCATGTTTTCTTCTATTATAGCGCCACCAAGAGGCTCAGTCCTACAATTTTTTTCATGTGTCCTCAGAGTGAGCCCCTTCATCTGTGTGTCAATTTTGGTGAAGATATCTCAATTCACTTCAGAGTTATAGACATTTATGTGAAAAAAAACACGTAAAAAATGACTGACACGTGACTTTGATTGAATTTTACGACCCTTTACTAACAATATTTTGGCATTTGGGCATTGGCAAATAGCTATCGACCTATGTTTCCAAACTTCTGACGGTGGTTTCGTCTCGATCAGACTAGCGGTTTCGAAGATATCGGCAAATGTTTTTTAAGCGCTAAATCACAACGCTACACAAACCGTAAGTCGAAACCTAGCATGTTTGGTATCGGTGGACTCGGCAAGGATTCAGGACCTCAACGAGATGACTCCCGTGAAAATAAGTCAACCATAGCCAGAGTTATAAGCATTTCAAAAATAAATTTTACCGCTAGGTGGCGCTGTTTTGATACTTCTCAGGCTCCTTCAGGGCATCTTACTGATGACCCATACCGAGTTTCGTAACAATTCGTTAATGCGTTAAAAAAAATACAGCATTTTAACACATAATTCAAAATGGCCGACAGCCAAAATGGCCGATCTGGGAAAATTGGATATCAGTCAACTCGGCATGACGCCCTGAATCTAACGAGACCACTTTTATGATTTTTGGACAAACCGTTCAGAAGTTATAAGTAAAAATAGCCATTTTCTGTATCTCCGGACCAGTAGGTGGCGCTGCGCCGAAACGCAGCATGTAGCCTCAGGTCATGCTTGTGATGAAATGTACCAAGTTTGGTCTTAATACGATAAAGCGTTGCAGAGATCCAGCCTTACATCTGTTTTTCCAAGCGCTACGTAAAAAAATTTCGTGCGTTTATCGAAAACGGTTTGACGAATCAACTTGAATTCCATAACTTTTTGTCCCCACAGCCTGAAGATGATCTGGTGCGATTTTGGTGAAAATCGGACAAACCGTCTAGGACGAGTTCGAAAAAGTAGTTTTTTTGGACAATTCAAAATGGCGGACATATTTGTATGACGTAAAATGACGTCATGTGATCCAATCGAATCGGCATGAGCTCAGGAATCAGAGGAAAAAAGACTTTTGTTTCTACCTATTATGGTTCAAAAGTTATTAGACTAAATATGAGTTAAACTTTGGACAGGTGGTGGCGCTAGAGGGATTGATTTTGAGATGTCAAATTTGCACTAGTACTTTTTAGACTGTCCTCTATCAGTGTGCCAAATTTCACAACTTTCCCACAAGCGGTTCTATGGGCTGCCATAGACACCCAGTCGGAAGAAGAAGAAGAAGGAAGAAGAAGAAGAATAAGAACCGGAACAGACACAATAGGTGCCTCCGCACCTTCGGTGCTTGGCCCCTAATAAAAACAGACGTCACATAGGGCAAAATGTGTTTAAAATTTTAAGAAGAACGCTATGCAAACATACTAGTTTAATATAATTTTAAACTGCTACAGCAGCGGGGAAGATTTGTGAATTCAATGAATTGTTAACTGGAGATTTGCTCTGACTGGATCATTTGAATCAGTGAGTTGTTGACTTGAGAACAAATGCAAACGAATCAGCCCAATTCTCAAATAAATCATCCAGTAGGATTTGCAAATCAATTTAACAGGTTATTTGAAGAATCAGCTAATTACGAATCGGACAGCGCTATCTCGTCTCAGGGCAGGTGACAATTTCTTCAATTCAAAATAATGAGGAACTACATGTTTTTATGAAATGTTGTGGAGTTAAAAATACGATATTATGCTTTTGAATGTAGTAAAGTAAAAGTTAACCAAAATAAAAATAATCCAATAAAGTACAGTTACTGTCCACCACTGAATGGAAAACACCAGAAATCATGCTGAAAAATGTTGGTTATTGAATCTCTAACATGTCTAAGGAGGGATTCTTCTCCAAGTGCTCGAACCAGTCCTTTAGTGTCCATATGTCCTAGGCGTAGGATATACAGAGGCCGGCCATCTATAGAAAGAAACAAGTGTTTAAGAATGTGGAAATACAAAACACCCTACATCACCATCATATAGTGCCAAACCACAACACCATGACATGTTCTGCTGAAATATGTAACTGAAAGAAAGTATAAACAAGTGCAAACAATTTCTGTCTTGCACTTCTCACAGGTAAACTCATTCTCTGTTAGTAGAGCTATCTTGTAAACAGACCATTTGAGAAAAAGCTATTTCTGTTAATCGATTTAATTGCAGTGTTTCACTGTGTGCATTGTTGGATGTTAATTTATTGCTGAACATTAAATTATATACAGTAGTTAATTAACCAAAATGAGTATTAAATACAACCCAGTTACGTGACACTCGTTCACCAAATCACCAGCAAGTGGCACAAAAGGGAAGGTTTGAAACATTGCTCAGTAAGGCTGCAATTGTGTCATTTTCACTTGTGAATGAAGATAAAATAAAAAAAAGAAATTACTGGTAATTATAATAACAAATATAGCTGCAAGCAGCAATAAAGGCGTCAAGCACAAAGAAGGCAGGACAAATCAGGCCATAATGGCTGGAAGCATCAGACCAACTGCAACGAGCAATTAACCCTTAGAGGTCAACAAACTCGCCACCACGTTTTGCTGGATTTTCTTCACATAGTAGCAAAATACTCAAAATATTCCATCTTTTAAGGTCATACAGACAATAGAAATACATCATCTGAAAATGTAAAATGTCTACTTTTGTATGTGTCCACTTACAATTAAAACAAAACATCGTACTTTTGTAAAATAAAGAAAACAAGCAGGGTGTGCTTTCTGCCTCTCCGTGAACTTTTTTTCTGGAGCACGTCTCTAAACAAAACTTAGAAAATACTTGTCACACAGACATGAGCAATATATCTTTATAAACATTTAAGTCTACTTTTAAATGATCTAATTCAAAACAAAAACAAATATTCTGTGTTTATGTAATCTGTATAAAAAGATAGAAATGTCAGTCGTTCTCATGCCAACTCATTATCTGCTAATGTGAACATGCCTATGGAGAGCGCACGCTATTGAAACGCAAATGATCTGAGGCGACCCATACAAACCTGTCAACGCCCACATCAACTCGATAAAACGCATCAAGTTTTATCAGATTCATGTACTTTACGTCGTCTTGGGATGCCGTGAGGAATAATAATAGCATGATAATAATAATACAGGAATAATTTAACTCAGAAGTAGTGCTGGTTTCAGTTTCATTTTAAGGAGCAACGGATCCAGCTGAGGATTGTGAATAGTAAGTTCTTTATTGTTAAGATCTTTATTCTAATCGCGATATGGAATAGTGTCTGTAAACCTTAAAACCTGTTTAAATATTAATCCTGCATGTTATCCGTGTTTCTGTGAATGCATGGCACAGATGCGCAGTTTTGTTTACTACACGCACTTACATTAGTGAACATGAACACATTGACTAGTTGTTGTTTTTTTTCATTTATTTATTTTTGAACAGGGACAAATGTAAAATATACATTAACTTTAAAAAGGAGAGATGCATTATACCAGGTTGTAGCACTTGTGCTAATTTCCACCTGTAGTCCCTGGGCAGGCTGATGTCAACAGATACACATATTAATAATACATTTATCCCAAAAACAGCATTAAAAAAAAAAAAAAATCACACCCTTCATTCATTCCTCAGCATTCATTTACAAATACACTCTCACATACACATCAATTACAATACATTATGTGAACATGTTTGTTTGAAAAGAAGCCATTTTTTGGCCCGATGTGAAAAAGTGTTACAATTTACACATGTGGTCAGCTCTGTTGGCAACTTATTTCACTCTCTGATGGCCACACATGAGAAAACTGAGCTGCCGAATGCTGTTTTACACTGAGGAATCCTACACTCGCCCCGAACAGTCGACCGAGTGGCTCTAGTTGAAATTTCTGAGCTCAGTGAAATAAACTTTTTTTAACGGAGGGGCTGCAGTACCATTTATTATCTTAAACAAAAGACAGATATTTGAATATATGATTATGTTTTTTAAGAATATGACAATGGTGAAATAACCGAGATTTATTGTCATGAACCTTAAGAGAACTTTTGTAGGGGCCTTAATAATATTCCAGGGGCCTTAATGCTGTTTTACATGCCTGTGACCAACTCGTCATGCAGTATCGAAAGTGCGGAATTATCATCGCATTTAGATATAGATTAGATGCATCTATGGTCAAAGAGTTCCTAATATATCTAAAATGTGCTATGTTAATTTTCAACTGTTATCTTTTTAATATGTTTTTTTTAATTTAAATTTGGGTCAAGAATGACTCCTAAATATTTAATTTGGTCAACCCTTGAAATTTCCTGACCCTCAATAATGATTTTTGGTTCAGATTTACATAGCGAGAACTTACGGCGGTTTGTGAAAAACATAGAAACCGTTTTGTCAACATTCAAAGTTAAATGAGAGTTTTTTTTAGCCATTTGGAAACCTTTTTCATTTCCTCAGTTAACTTTCGGGCAACATCCTTGACAATTTTACCATGAATATACACCACTGTGTCATCAGCGTACATTATAATTTTAGCATTAATACACACAGACGGAAAATCATTAATATAAAGAGAAAACAAAAAAAGCCAACTAGTTTGGCTTTTCGCAAATTATATTGCTATACTGAGATGAGTGAAATCGACTGAAATATGTTTAAATAAGATGTATTTTTATAAGCAACGTATTAAACTGCAAATTAACATTTAGAAAAAAAGAGGAAGAGGAAAAAATATTCCAAAACTTTCTGAAAATGTTATGAATTAACTGCACAATAACTAGAAATGTGTATCTTGGATATTATACAATTTGCATGCATAATAAATTTGTGGAAAAAGACCAACTCTAAATTTGAACCAATTTTGTAGAATAGCCCATATAGCCTATTTGAACAGGATTTGTTTCGAGGTATGACTGTGTACTCAAAATGTGCCTTCGACTTTCATTTGTATTTTGGATTATATTTTTAATATATATTGTTAATATACACTTACCTAAAGGATTATTAGGAACACCTGTTCAATTTCTCATTAATGCAATTATCTAATCAACCAATCACATGGCAGTTGCTTCAATGCATTTAGGGGTGTGGTCCTGGTCAAGACAATCTCCTGAACTCCAAACTGAATGTCAGAATGGGAAAGAAAGGTGATTTAAGCAATTTTGAGCGTGGCATGGTTGTTGGTGCCAGACGGGCCGGTCTGAGTATTTCACAATCTGCTCAGTTACTGGGATTTTCACGCACAACCATTTCTAGGGTTTACAAAGAATGGTGTGAAAAGGGAAAAACATCCAGTATGCGGCAGTCCTGTGGGCGAAAATGCCTTGTTGATGCTAGAGGTCAGAGGAGAATGGGCCGACTGATTCAAGCTGATAGAAGACCAACTTTGACTGAAATAACCACTCGTTACAACCGAGGTATGCAGCAAAGCATTTGTGAAGCCACAACACACACAACCTTGAGGCGGATGGGCTACAACAGCAGAAGACCCCACCGGGTACCACTCATCTCCACTACAAATAGGAAAAAGAGGCTACAATTTGCAAGAGCTCACCAAAATTGGACAGTTGAAGACTGGAAAAATGTTGCCTGGTCTGATGAGTCTCGATTTCTGTTGAGACATTCAGATGGTAGAGTCAAAATTTGGCGTAAACAGAATGAGAACATGGATCCATCATGCCTTGTTACTAGGGGTGCACGATTCAGAAAATGTCACGATTCCATACCGATTTTTTGTCTCAAGATTCGATTCAAAATCGATTTTCGATTCAAAAACGATTCTCGATTCAAAAAACGATTCGCAGTAGGCTATATAAATGTAGTTTACTTTTTCCAATGTGATTGATTGCAGTAGACACAATTTAAAAGAAAAAAACACAACAAATTAAATGTAGTTTGATATTACTTTATATGTCTTCATACAAAAATAAAAAAATTTGCTACTAAAAAGTGCAAAGTGCCAAGCTTTGGCCAGCTTTCAAATACATTTAATTCAAGTTTAAAATAAAACTTAAATAAAAAGCTTTTACATTTAGCTTTAAAGTGCTGTAGTCAGATCAAACAAACAATAATGCTAAATGTGGTTTAAGGACTACTTTAGCTACCAGGTTGACTGTTGAAATGTTAACTCGACTGGGCACATTGAACTTCCTAAAAATATATACTAATGTCATAGAACCCTTGCGAAATTATTTTAAATAGATTTTAAAAAGCCACCGCTACTGGTAACATCTATGGTTAGATTGATTTGTTTAGATCCAGTGAAGTCGTTCATAGGCGTAATTTGCGGGTATCACCAGTTAACTAGCAGAGCATTCATTTAGATCGCTATTAAATAAGAGATCTGTTGTTTTTGAAATCAAGCTGAGCGCTCGTTGCCGCTGCTATGTGTCATGGATACAGTGTTCTCTGTGGCTCGCGCAGTCTTCACTCGGACGCGCGCTTCATATCGCCGTTGTGGTTCCGGTGAAATCACAAAATAAAATGCACACAAACGTGATGAACATTCGGTTTTGATGAGAGAGAGAAAAAACTATACGAGTGCGATTTAGAACCCGTAACCTCTGACACGCTTGGCAAAAGATCTACAGAACTCAAACATAAGATCTGCAGATCGATGCATTTATTCACGGGTTGAGCAGAGAGGCTGCACAGTTTGACCAGCGGGCGGCAAGAACTTGCAATGTAACTATTTATCAGACCGGCCCTCGCGGCCTCGAAACACTACCGGACCACCGGTAAAAGTCCCGACTCACCCGATTGCCACTCCGCCCGTGCACGCCATTAAAAAAAATATATGAATCGATTTTTGAAATTCTATGAATCGATTCTGAATCGGTAAAGATTGAATCGCGATTCAAATGTGAATCGATTTTTTTGCACACCCCTACTTGTTACTACTGTGCAGGCTGGTGGTGGTGGTGTAATGGTGTGGGGGATGTTTTCTTGGCACACTTTAGGCCCCT